GGGGGAGACATGGAAGCGGCTCCGAAAGCGAGCAGGCGGGTGTGTCTGCAGCAGGATGCCGGGGGGCTCTCGGTGCGGGGGGGGGCCCGCGTGAACGGAGCCTGCGCGCAGCCGGCCGCGGGGCCCGAGCCCGAGCCGCCCCGGCGGAGGGAGGGGGCTCGGGCAGCCCCTGCCTGGGCCGAGCACAACCTGCCCCGTCAGACGCGGGCGGCGGGGGGGTTATAGGAGGGGGCCCGAGGCCCGGGGGGGCAAATCAGTGGGAGCTGGGTGCCTAAATCCCTGGAGGCCCAAGGCGACAGGCAGCGGCTAGTGCCTCAGATCTGCGTCTCCCTCGTCCTGGGCACCCACTGTGCACAGGCTGCCCAAGAATTGCCACGGGGCAACCTGGAGGCCCTCTCACCTGGGCTGGGCTCGCTGCCTCCCCCAGGACAGACATCCCTTTGGCCTCTGCCCCTCAGGTGCCCGGCTGCTTTGCTTCTCCAGCTATTTACTTTAATAGGATTTGGTCCCTGGGAGAGGCTGGGTGGAAGCAATCGGGGTGAACGCTACCTTGGGGCAGGTTTATGTTGCCTGATCGCATATTTGTTTGAGTGGATTTCTCTCGGCGTCATGGGTAGGAGGATAATCCCCTTCCAAGGCTTAGCCCGCGTGGGATCATGCTGCGCTAAGCCAAGGGCTGGGGGCCGGCTGGTGCCGAGTTGCCTAACTTTGCAGGAGCTCTGTCCCTGCCAGGGAATGAGCCTGGGATGGGATTTCAGCAGGTCAGACGAGCAGCCCTGGTACACGATCTTGTTACACCAGTGCTGCTCTGATCTAGGGCTCCTTCCCCCAGTGCGAGCTCGGTAAGGAAAGTTGCAGCAAAGTGGTAAAGCCCTGGGGGTGGAAGGATCTGCCCTGGATTGCTAAGTAGAGGGTCACTGGCTCCTCCGTCGTGTGATGCCTTCCTTCTGTGGCAGCCCCAAAGCCCTTCGCAGGCGTTAGACAATTAACTTGGTTCTCCCAGCCCTGCCCCTGTCACCCTCCCCAGCATTTGGCAGAGACTGTTGTCCCCATTTGCAAATAAGGCACCCAAAGCACAAAGGATTCATGGCCTCACCCATGGTTGCCCAGGGACTCCGGCAGAATCAGGAAGTGAACCCAGGAGTCCTGGCTCCGAGACCTGTGTTGCAACCCATAGTGTTGTGTTCGCTGTAACAGCAAATGACACAAGCTGCTCTTGCCTATAGCTAATCCAGCTTTCAAACCAGCACTCCTTTCCCTGGCTCCAGGGGCAAGGGTGGGCTGATGGGGGACATACCTAAAGGTGCCCTAAATTCAGGTCCCTGCAACGTGATTACTGCCCCTCCAGATTTCATTAAATGCTCTAGGAAGAAGGTCTGATCCCCAGCAGGTCAGGAGAGGTGGAAGCTTTGTACTCGGACCCTGGGTCTGAATGTGTCTGGCGGATAGAGCAGGAGGGATTGGGTGGCTTATAAAGATCAGACCCCAGCGCAGAGAGATGATAACATCCCAGTGCTCGGAGAAAGCCTCAGGCTGTGATGTGCTGCCAAGCAGATGTCACCTGTCTGGGAGGGCAGTGCAGTGCCAAAATGCCTGATCCAAAAGCCTGTAAGATCCATGGAAAGGTCCCTCCCCTCCTTGAATTCACCACATTCAGGATCAGAGCACATGACTGCTTCACACCAGCATGGGGTGTTAGGCTGCTCCTTGCCTCTGCGCCCTGCATGTGGTGCTATGGGAGAGCATGGAGATCAGGTGCTGAGGACAGGAGGGGAGGATGGCTCTGATCATAACCGTGTCCCCAGGATTTTCCACAGGTGCCCGCGTTGTGCTGATGAAGGCTCCACGCTAACGTTGGCAGAGACATGAGTAACAACACGGTAAGTCCTCTTCACGAAGCAGCCCTGCTGTCCTTGTCCTGGACGTCCATCCCGGGCCCTTGGACAGTGTCATGGACCCCCCCGCCCGCTGGTAGCAAGCGCGCTTCATCTGCAGGACATCCGTACCTTAGTGGTCCATGCAGTCCTGCATACTATAGGGACCCTCCCTCATAGATGGAGAGGGCTGGAGCCCAGGGCTACTTGGTAACTTGCTGAATACCAGCTCCTTCCAGCTCAGAGCTGGCTTCTCGGCTTCTATGGGGACTGAGGCAATGCCTGGCAGCGCTAGCCACTGAGGGTGAATATTCTCGTAGCTGAGTGAGCGAGGTTTTGCTGAGTATCATGGCTGCTGCCGTGAGATCTTTCTTCCTAAGTGAAGCCAGCTGAATGAGGCTGGAGAAGGGTCAGGTGCTTGGGGTCTGAACTTCAGTCATCCCTAAGCAGCTGGACAATGGCTCCTTCTGCTTATCTGCCTCTTGGTGCTTCCTGAACCTGACTTCTTCCGACTTGCAGTGAGAGCCCATCCCTGGCGTGCAAATAGAAGGAAAACAACATGTAGGAGCCACCAGACAGTGGGGCAGGGGCTGAGCGCTGATGCCTCTGATGCCTGGGGATTATCAATTTAATCGGTTTACCTGGGGCTTATAAGTACACTGCAGGATCAGTTGAATGTGAGACTTCTCATGCAAAGCTTCGGCCAGCCAAATGCTTCTCATAGCCAGGCAGGTCTGATGGGTCAGGTGTAAGGACAATCCCGGCAGCTATCGGGTGAGCTGCCCTATGCACATGGTGCCCAACAGACTTCAAAAAGGGAATAGCAGAGGGGTGGCTGTGGGGAGAAACAGACAAACAGGCTGGGTAGAATAAAAGAGGCCCCAGTCTGCCATGGGGCAGAGGGGAACATGGCTCAAGTAACTGGCTCCCATCTCTGACTGAGCCAAAGACTGGGAGGGAGGGGGGAAGCAAAGAGCTGGTGCAGAAAGTCCTGGCAATTTGATGTTAGAGAGACTGGCCTGTCGGTTCAGAGCTGGTCAGCAGTGGCATAATTCTGCTGCTGTGAAGCTGATGGGAGTTACCAGGAGGGGCAGAGTTAAACCAACCCAAAGACCTGTGAAAATCCCACCAAAAGTCCCAGTGCCCTAAAGTGCCAGCTCCTAAACCCTGCATAGTGTAACGGGAGACTTTGCCCCGCATGCTGCACTTTGAGACTAGAATCCTTCTCTCAGTTATTAAAGAAAAATATCCAAGCATTAAAACCTCACAGTTTACTTGTGCCTGTTTGAGAGGCTGCATAACTTTCCCCCTTTCGAACTGGCTTTGGACAGTCAAATCAGCCAGGTCAGTCTCTCATGTTTCTCTCCAGTTTCCCTTTCTGGATGTGGAACCCTGGAAAGAAGCTATTTGTGTTTATGGCACTGGCGGCAACATGTCTGATGTTTTAAAAATCATTTGTAATTGAAATGTAAATGGAAAACAGATGTGCCTGTCTGTCTGCGTGGGTTTGCAAGCACAGCCAACATCCAGGGGTCTGCTTCTGCATACAAGCTGACATCCAGTAACCTAGCCCCAGGGATTCAGGCATGTTTGAATTTCCTGAGGACCATTAGACTGCCTGGGTCTGATTTACACAGTCTGTTATCTTGACTTGCAAACCAGTACCTAGTTGCAGGTAGCACTGACTGCTGCTTCACACCCAGCTCTGGGAATCAGGACTCCTGGGTTCTCCCCCCGGCTTGTAAATTCTGATCTCTGACAACCCAGTTATTTACCCTGAAAAGTGGGGGTAATGGCAATATTTGGCCAACTTTGCAAAGCCCCTGGAAAGCACCTGCCAAAAGGCACTACATAAAGGTGAAGCATTATTGTTGAGACAGGAATGCTCAAAAGCATCGGAACATTTCTAATTTGGGAGGCAGGAAAGTTTTAAAAACTAAAAATCGGCCAGATTCTCTCTTTCTCTCTGATCTTTATCCTTTCTATGTGTGCCTGTGTGTGTGAAAACTCATCTACTATCTATACCTTCATAAGAGCTAGCTAACGCTCCCTGCCCTCTTGTTCTTGCCATTGCAAAACGTCTCGCTAGCTGGTGCTCATGCTGGCACTCTCCCTGGAGGGGCCAAGGACCAGTTAGGTCCTGGCCACTGAACTTTCCCTCCCAGTCCCTGTCAGTCACAGCCACTGGTGAGAGAGCTCACCTGGCTGCTGCCCGCTCTGTCCCAGAGCTGGGTAAGGTGGATTTCTGTTGCTGTGTTACTGCATATGCCCACCCTAGGTTTGGGATGAAAGTTTGGGCATGCTGATAGAGGTCTGGACCACTGCTGTTGGGGCACAGGGGACTGTCAAGGCAGTGGCTGGGCCCAGCTCTCTCAGTAGCTGCCAGCTCTGCTAGGGTCACACAGTGCTAATACAGGCAAGTGGAAGTACAGGCCTCTTCCTACCCTTGGCCTGCTGTGGTCCTTGTCCCCTCAGCAGCACCAGCACCTCCTAGCCACCAGCATCCAGCACTGGCTTTGCTGCAGGTCTCTGGAGCATCCCCTCAACCCCATCCTGCATGTAACCCTCTCAATCCTGATGGCTTTGCTGCCACAGACCAAACTGGCCCAGTAGGTGGTTGGTGCTCAGAGGCAGGTGGCTTCAGGAGCTGCTGACCATGATAGACAGTTATGGAAATAGGATTTTAATTTGTCTGGGGTCCAGTCAGGGCTTTGTTGCAGGGCAAAAAAGCTGCCTGCAACAGAGCCCTCCGTTCATATATATGTATCTGTGCATCACAGCAGAGCTGGGAAGGGATGGTTTGGGCTTGGCTGCCTGGTAAGTAAGGGCTTCTTGCTTCAGGGGAGTGAGATCCCAGAAAGCGGAAGCAAGAGGGGCTCTGTGAGGGGCCTTTACCTCCGGGCTGCAGAGCACGTCTTCCATGCAGCATTGATTTTGGAGGGGGGACTTTGTTTTTTGCGTGTGAGTATGGGACCCTGTGTCCTGACTGTCAGAGGTGCTCAGTAGGTGGGTGCCTAAAATTGGAGGTTCTTGAGAGCTGCAGACCTGTCTGAGTGCTGCCCCTGGGTCTGACCTCTTGATCTTGCTCTTCCCTCTCCCAAACCCCAGGGCCAGCACACGGCGATCTTTGTGGTTCTGTTTGCTCTGGTCATGCTACTGATCATCTACAGCTCCAACAGTGGGAACGAAGTCTTTCACTACACAAACCTGCGGAGCAAGTCCCATCGTCCACCTAACCTCAAGAAATGGGGGCTGAAGAACGGATACCTCCCTGTATATGGAAACAAGGTACGGGGCATCCAGCTGAGGCTCCCTCATGTTCCTGCCCTCACTGGAGGAAGGAGCTTTGCAGACTAGCTCCAGGCTGAGCTTGCAGGCGTTCCAAGCTGGGGCTCGGCAGCTTGGTATCCCTTGGCTCTGACAGCAGTTAACAGTCTGGTGCAGTAGGAGCTTAAAGGAGCTTTCCTTGCCTTGCCTCCATGCCACCCTGCACTGCTTGTGCCTAACAATGGTGCTGTCTGAGGGACTGAGGAGCAGAGGCACTACAGTGCAGATTGCAGCGTGTCTCAGATGGAAGTCTGACCTTCAAGCTTCTTCCAGCCGCTGCTCTGAGCAGGCCCCTGGCTGTCAGGACTCCTGGCTTCTACTGCCATCCTGCTTGCTAACTAGCCCTTAATGAGTTATTTTGTCTGTCTGTGCCCCAGTTGGCCCATAGGTCAGAAAGGGGTAATAATTCACAGACATATTAAAAGGAATTGTTAATTAATTCTGCACAGCAGGTTGGACTTCTCAGATGCTTATTGGGAGCCAAGAGTAGTTGCTGCGTGCAGAACAGCCCTCTACTGCCAGCAAGCAGAACTGCCAGCCTAAGCCTTGCAGAGCCGTTCTTTCCAGGCAGAAGGCAGGGTGGACTAACACGGTTAACTTCCTTTCTCAGTTATGTCTGGAACAGCAATGCTCTCAGATCAGGGTTCCCTTGCCTCCCGGTCCCTGTGCGCACAGACAGGGGCAGGTGCTGCCTCAGAGCACTTCCAGTCTGAGTAGGCAATGGAAATGTTATCCTCAGCATCTTGCACGCTAGGAGAGGACTATGGAAACACTAGGAGAATCCTCTGGGTTGCACTGGGAGTCTATGGCAGAGCTGGCAATTCATTTCTCTTGCGTCCCCATCCAATACCTTATCCCCCCACCCTTCCTGCTCCTGTCATGAGCCAGAGGGTTTCCAGGAACTTGGGGGCACAGGCCATGTCTTTGGGGAAGAGGGTTGCTGCTCTGTGCAGTGAGGGTGCAAGGCAGTGGTGAAGTGCCAGCGCTGATAGAGTCACTGCTTTCTTTTCTTTCTTCCCCAGACTCTGAATTCCCACTGCCACCAGTGTGTAATCATCACCAGCTCCAGCCACCTGCTGGGGAGCAAGCTAGGCTCAGAGATCAACCAGGCAGAGTGCACCATCCGCATGAACGACGCCCCCACCACCGGCTATGAGGCAGATGTGGGCAACAAGACAAGTTTCCGCGTGGTGGCTCACTCCAGCATCTACCAGGTGCTAAAGAAGCCACAGGAGTTTGTGAACAAGACCCCGGAAACCATCTTCATCTTCTGGGGACCACCCAGCAAGATGCAGAGGAGCCTGCTCAGGATCATCCAGCGTGTCAGCATGTCCTTCCCCAACATGTCAGCCTACGTTGTGTCCCCTGGTCGTATGAAGCAGTTTGATGACTTGTTCAGGGGAGAGACTGGGAAAGACAGGTACCTAGGGGCCTCCTTCCTGACCTCTCATTTGGTGCCATCAGCATCCCAGCCTTACCAGTCAGCTCCCACCCCACCAGCCAGCCCACACCCCATGCTGCTGCATTGTTACCTGTGCTATATCACCTTTCATCCCCATGACAAGAACCCATGCAGTTCTCTTGCAGCCACTCGCCTGTCTTGCTGTCTGTCACTGGGTTCAGGGCTGACAGGAGGATCCAGGCCCTTTGGATTGGTGGGGGACCTTAGACAAGCAGATATGGAGGAATGGTGGGAGCGAGGCTTTGGTGTAATTCTGTTTCATCCCATTCCTCTGCCCCCAACTGGCTTCTCCCTGTCTCATCTCCACTGTTTTGCCTCCTTTTATCCACTCTCCTCTCTTTCTCTGGCTGACTGTCTTTCTCCCCTTCTCTTTCTCCCTCCGTCTTCCCTTGCCTTCACTCATTCTTCTCTGTCCCTCAGGGAGAAGTCCCGGTCATGGCTGAGCACAGGCTGGTTTACCATGGTCATTGCTGTGGAGCTGTGTGACAAGGTGCATGTCTATGGCATGGTCCCTCCTAACTACTGCAGGTAAGGCCTGAGCCCCTGTGTCAGCCACCTCCCTTTGGGCCCCAGCACTTTGCCCTCACCCGAGTGGCTCACCTTGTATCTCTGTCCTCCACAGCAAGAGGTCTCAGCCCCACAAGATGCCGTATCACTACTACGAGCCCAAGGGTCCGGATGAGTGTACAATCTACATCCACAACGAGCGCAGCCGCAAGGGCAACCACCACCGCTTCATCACAGAGAAACGGGTCTTTGCCAGCTGGGCAAGCCTCTATAACATCACCTTCTCCCACCCATCCTGGCCCTAGGGGCTTCGCCAGGGAACACAGAGTCAGTCAAGTGCCAAACGTGACTGGTGTCAAGAGCGGGATGTCTCTGACTCAAAGGGAGAACATCTGTGGTACGAACCCTCTGAGCCAGGGGCTCAGAGGTAAGAGAGGCCACACACTGCTGCTATCAGGATTCTCTGTCCAGGGGCTGTATGGTCAGGAAGGGCTGGGCTTGAGGGGGGACAGGCTGGGACAGTGCCTGTGACTGAACACACAGGCTGGGCCCTGGAAGCACAGCCACACACTGGGCTTGGTTCGTGTTACACCCCCCTAAGGCACAGTCATGCACATCACAGGATCTGTGCTTCGGGGTGGCGGCACCACTTCTGTGACAAGATGCCTGCCCCATGCTCATTATCAACCCTGAGGCTGCCCTTGTCCTAGCTTTCTGCGTGGGACTTTTTTCTCAGCCCTCCTGACCTTGGAGGGATATTTGAGGCTGGAGTTGAGAGGACTTTCCTCCTTTCAGCTCTGCTAGGCTGTCAGTCAGATGCACATCTGGGAGGTTGCATGTACCATAGAGCATAAACCTAAAGGCAAGGGCCCTGTCCCTGCAGCCTCTGCATCCCTGAGGTTGCCAGCAAGGCCTGCAAGCACCATCCACCAAGGCTTAAAGAGAAGAGGATGAGAGTGTCAGGGAAAGGAGCCCCAGAGATCCTTGGGCAGGTCTGCTTGGGAAGTGTGAGAAACACCCAGCCAAGGTCTGTGAGCCCTGGGCAGTGATGGAGCTGGCTCTCCCCTCAGGTGCTTTGTCTGGTTGGCCACCACGGAGGTTGGCCCAGCTTCTAGGTGGCTGCTCAGAGCAGGATATACTGTGTTGGTTGGGTGTGTTGTCTTGCACTGTGCATGCGTACGTGTCACAGATACTGTGAGGCATGTTGTTTTATGTGACAATCTCAAAGGGGTACCGTGGCTTAGAGGGCCTTGCTAGTCCCCATGGGTGTACACAGGCTTCACAACTAGACTCTGCTTTGACATCACTGGTTTCCTGGGATCCTGGGCCATGTGCTGTCTCTTTCCTCAGGCTGGCAGGCTCATGCGGCGCTCCTCAGCCTGCTTGTGAAATGGAGATTTGGTAGCAGGCGGGTGGGCTTGCTGCTGTGCCGCCTAGGCTGGAGTTGTGGTCTCTGCTTGCTCTTACAACAGTTCCCCTCACCCAGTGCTCTGTTCACAGGAGCTGAGATGCCTTGAAGAAGTGACTGATGGGCTGATGCTGGTTCCTAACTACCCCTGGGGCAACCAGTTGGACTGAGTTGCCCATGGCTGTCTGGTCTGTTTTTGTATTCATGAGGGTTTCTGTGTCTGTTGTAAAGGTGCCTGAATGCTCCTGGAGCTGGTGCTGGAGTAGGGGGGGCAGTGCCACCAACAGCTGAAGTGCGGCTGCCTAGAAGCAGGGCAGGGACATGTGGTGTGAGTGGAACGATGCTCCACTTTTCCCTTTCATAACTGATTACAGGGAAAGCTAAGTCAGCTGCAGATGGACCCTGACCCCAACAGCCCCCACTCCCCCCAGGGTTTGGGTATTCAGGATCCAGCTCTGAATTTCAGGACCCTATCTCACAGTTTTGAAAGTGCTGGTTAGCCACAGCCGTGCAGCTGGGAGTGGAGTGGCTTGGGGGCTGGATCATCAGCTGCAGGGGACTGAAGATGGCCAGGGATGGGAGCCGGGAGCTCTGAAGGCGGTTGTCTGGGGCACACATCATGCTCCATGTATTGCTGCCCCATCTGTATGCTGCAGAGAATGAAAGGGAGGGTATGAGGCCCCCTCATTATGGGGATGTTGAAATAGGAAGAGCTGAGGCCTCTTTGGGCAGAGAGCAGCTGCTGCAGCCCTGCCTAGCACAGCAAGGGGTAAACAGAGAAGATGTCCCTCAGCACTGGGGTGGGGTGGGCTGCACACGACCCAGCACTGTTCCCAGTGGACTTGCTCCCTGGCAGGCACGGTGAGGTTACTATCCTGTTGCTTGCCCAGGCTCAGTGTGGGGTGGTGGTGCCCACTGTGGCCCCAGTTGTTCATTTTAATTGTTGTGTGGCTTTTCCCATGTCGTCTCTTGGGCAGCCCTCTGGGGCACGGTCCCTTGCAGCTGCTTGTGGGGTCCCTGATCCTTTGCCTCCTCACCTGCCAGGGAGACCTGTCTCTGCAGCCTGAGTGAGGGGCTGTGGGATGCACTGGAAATGGAAACCATGCTGCCAGCTCCTCAACCTGTGAGGAGCAGTGCCCCTCTCCTGGCTGCCTCCATTCTCTGCCACTGCACCTGTTTGGCCTGAACTCCATAGATCACAACGCTGAGACTTGACAGGAAACACCCAGGCAGTGGGCTTCTTTGATCACGATTGCATGGAATGGGAGATTTCCTCGGGGCTTGCTGAACTGGACTTGGGACCCAGAAGTGACTGTTCCCAAGGCAGGCATGTCTGGGGTCTGATTCTGCATTGTGCAGCCCTGCGTGTTGTCTTGGACCCCACTCTAAACAGGCGAGAGGGGAGACAACAACCACCCAAGGGGCAGCACAACAGCATGAATTATGCCCCTGGTGCAGCCTCCCATAGGAACATAAAAATTGCCATTTACTGGTTCAGACCATAGGTCCATCTTGCCCAATATCCTGCGTTGCACAGTGGCAGAGAGAGAGTGCTGAAAGGATGAGTGAACTGGGAATGAACAGGGTTTTTCCTGCTGTTCCTCTCTCACTTGCAGCCTTCAGCATTTAGGGTCCAGGAAATTTTGATTCAGATGTGGTATCCCTAGCCCTGGTGCTCAATAGCTACTGATGCCCCTTTCCTCCAAGTATGTATCTACTCCATTTTTGAACCTGGCTAAACTGTCAGCTTCCACAACATCGGGTGGCAATGAGTTCTGCGCTTTAATTACATGCTGTGTGAAAACAGAACTTCCTTTTAGTTTTAAACTAACTACCTACTAGTTTCATTTTGTGACCCCTGGTTCTTGTGTTGTGAGAGAGAGTAAATAATAAATCCCTATTTCCTATATCTTTGCCATTTAGTTTGTAAAACGTTATGTCCCACCTCAAATGTCTCTTTTGAAAACAATAGGCCTTGCCTCTTTAGTCTCTTGTCATATGGCAGCCCCTCCATACCACTGATTATCCTTGTTGCCATTCTCTGTACTTCTATATCCTTTGTGAGGTGTGGGGACCAGAACTGGGCACACTATTCAAGGTGTGGACACACCGTGGCTTTATAAAGGGGCATGATGGTACTTTGTTCTGTTTACAATTCCCTTTTTAATAATCCCTAGCATTTTGTTTGCCTTTTTGACAGCTGCTGAGCCCGGAGCTGATGTTTTTTAGCAGACTGCCCACAATGACTCCCAGATCTCATTCTTGTGTAGTAACAGTTAATGTAGAGCCCATCGTACTGTAGGTAGAATTTGGGTTATTTTTGCCCAGGTGCATCACCTTACAGTTTCCCTTCATATCTCCCTCTTATCCCATGCTCCCTACTGGGATCATGGTCACTTTTCTTCCTTTATCTCCCTCCGCTGTTCAGGGTCTGCTCTGAAAGTGTCTGGCAGTTTGGTGCCATTAGACACTTTCTGATCTGCTACACAGTTGGATTTGGCTCTTCCTTGCTCCTCGGACATTTTTACCAGTTATGGCCAAGTTTAAAACAAATGCACACTGCAGCCTTCTCTAGGGACAGCGCTAAAGAGGCTTGATCAGATTCTTGCTTGGGCAGCCCCTCCACCCTGAAATCCAGGGCATTGGTCTGGGGCAGGACTAGGCCCTGGAGTTACCAGACTGGCTGGCTATGTGCAGACCACGGGCCTGCTTCAGATTCCATTTTTCCCAGTGTGAATTGGGTTAACCAATGGAAGTGGAATTGAGCCAGTGTCAATCCAGCACAAATGAGGTCAGACTGGTCCCATGACTGCAGCGTACAGCATCATTTGCTTGTCAGACAAGGGAATGTCTGATGGTGAGAGATGCTGACCAGCTTCTGGCCTCTGTCTGCTCCCTGCTTCCCTTCCTTCCAGCAGGAGCATCCCTAGGTCTGCAGAGACACTTCTCAGTGGGTTCCCTTGGTCCATGCAATAAAGCATCTTGACTGTAACATGGGAGCAAATCCTGTTTACTCTGATACCTACAGGCAGGAGGGATCCTCAGTTCATTGTCTTGGGCTTCAGCCAGTAGTTTGGGCCTAGGAGGTCTCTTCCATGCTGTGTTCCTCTGATGCCATGTGAGTTGCCTCTCTCCCAGCATGGGGTTTAAATGCAGAAGCTGGAGGGTGATGTGGGGAGGGGTGGGGGAGATCTGGGGCTGCTTGGTGGGGAATCTTGAGACTTCCAAGAGCTTCCTGGGAGGAGGAAGAGCCACCTCTGGCCTCTACCCAGTGCCATGAGCTGGGGCTGCTTTGCACTTATACCAGCAGGACCTGAAAGCCTCATATGACCCCAGAGATTCTCTCTAGGAGCACAAGAAGTGACCAGTTCACAGCACAGCTGCCTCCACAGACTCTGGCTGTGCTCAGCGGTGCCTCTGCTAAACTTCACTGCCTTCAGGACATAGTTTGGACAAGACCTGAACTCAGCCACTACAGGCACCTGATCTATCCAGTCCTTGGGAAGGCTATGGAGCTGCTAATCTGCCATAGCCTGGACCTTTGGAGGTACTTAAAAGGGACGCTGTCCAGATATTTTTTACAAAGGGGTTGGGGATGAGAGGGGGGTTTTTGCTTCTCATATTTGCATTAGCTTCCTAAAATAATGTTATTACATTTAAAAACTAAGAAGTGTGATGAGATGGACTCTGGGGGGCAGATTCTGTCAAAGTACAGTACTGGCACTTGCTTAACTGTTCTAGCCCCTCTGTCAGCCAGAGTTGTAGGCACTTGGTGTCTGAACATGGTCATATAAGGGGAGGTCTGTAAGCCTTTGTTGCCTAATCCCTTTGGTTTTCAATGAGATTTGGAACCTAAGGTACTTAGGAGCCTTTGGAAATCCCAGCCACATGCCTTCTATTGCACTGGCTCTTTCTATGAAGTCCATTAGGGTGCTGGAAAATGGATTATAAAGAAATAAGATTGGTCCCTTTTGTTTTGTTTTCTTGCTGCTGCTACTTTTCTGTGCTTCTGTAAAGAGCTGATCCGATTAAACCACTCTGTTAAACCATTATTTGAATGGATCTGTTGGTCTGGGTCAGTGTAAAGACAAGTCAGTAGTCGGTCACAGTCAAGATAATACACAATTCCATAGGCTCATCAGATGATGAATGGCTGCTGCTAAGAGTATGTTACATATGTGAGTAGCGTGCATTTTAAATGAAGCTGAGCTGAAGTGTGAGAAATGGCAGAACTGTGTGGAGAAGCCGCCTGTAATAATTAACGATGAATTAGCTGTGATGGGAACATCACTTAAT